TCGTTGATGTGGCACGGAATCGAAGGCCTTCTGGAAATCAAGGTAGATGACATCCACCGGGCTGCTTCGTTCGATGGCCCCACTCCAATCATCCAATGCTTCTAGAAGTTGGGTACTGCATGATCTGCCCGGACGGAAGCCATGCTGATGAGTGGACAGTAGGTTGTTATCCGTCAAGAACTTCAGCAGCTGGTCACGGATGATAGACTCCAGTGTTTTGCAGGGTACTGCTGTCAGACTGATCGGACGGTAGTTGCACGGGTCAACCTTGCTTCCCTTTTTGTGGATAGGGACCACGCGTGCAAGCTTCCAGTCTTCTGGAATACACCCAGTATCCAGTGACCTGCGAAACAGGTAGGAGAGTGGGGCCGAGAGAGAGCAGCACGCTTCATTGAGGACTCTTGGATGAATCTCATCAGGCCCAGGAGAACTTGACACCTTGAGCTTTCTGAGCTTATGTTCCACTGTCGCAGGGGAGATGTCAATATCAGAAAGGCTACATGTCTGGTTCCGAGCAACGAGCCTCGGTACATCGTTCACATCCTCGTTTTGGAAGACTGAGGCAAAGAACTCATTTAGAGCTGTGGCCTTAAGATTGGCATCACTAGCCAGGAGTCCATCAGAGTTTCTCAGGTCACCGATCCTTGGTTTAGTCTTAAGCCTGCTGTTGCTGTACTTCCAGAAGGCCTTTGCATTTGTTTTCAAGTCTGTCACCAGTTGAGTTTCGAAGTTAGCCCGGAGCTGCCTCGTCAGTTGTCTCAATTTGTTCCTGCAAGTCTTATATCTGGCTATGTCGATCGGGTCGCGAGAAGCTGCAGCCTTCATCCACAGTGCATTCTTTTGACTCCTTAGTTTGAGGGCACCACTTGTCATATACAGACTCTTCCGAGTCTTACAGCTCTTGGCGAGTGGGACACATTCTGAGACTGTTCTGTTCAGAGTTGATTTAAAAACAGAGTACCCCTGATCTACTGAACTAGTGATCAGGGGGGTCCAGTCAGTGTCAGATAGTAGCCGGTTTAGACGGGGGAAATCCGCTCTGTGAAAGCTGAACTTGGGCTGCTCAGTAGTTGCTTTGGCAGTGTAACAGTTTAGGCCAAAATCGAGGACCACATGGTCACTCTTGCCTAGACCTGAAGAGTACTTGAGGTCAGAAAGCATCCCTTCTTCAGCAGTCATGACCAAGTCAAGGGTGCTTGCCCTTTCAATACCACGAAATCTTGTAGGTTGAGTGACGTGCTGGTATAAGAAGCAATCATGTACTGCTGTCAGGAACTTGTGCGCATGGTTCGTGGTTGGAGCAGAACAGATGTTGCTGGCCCAGTCAATTTGTGGGAGATTAAAGTCTCCTGCTTTCCTTCAGATCCACACTTGGGCTCCTATATAAGCAACCAATCAGTAAGATGTCTGATCCTCTGAGATTCACTTGCAACCACAAGTGTTCAACTAAACGAGAACGGGACATTTCAACTTCCAGAGCAGAGAGACCATAATGAATGTACACAGCAAGCCCTCTGCACTTCCTGCCAAGATCACGCTCATCGTGACTGAAATTAGTGAAAAGGGTGTACCCAGGGATGGCAAGAGGAACTGGTGCTAGAGGCAGTACTTGTGCTTTTGGAATAACCTCAGTGATGAGGATAATATCGGGCTCCCTGCCAGCAATAATCAAGCAGAGCTCATCTCTCTTGTTCACAAGCTGGTCTGCATTAGTGTACATGCATTTCAGGGGTTTTCCTTTCAGAATAGAGCCAGGAGCCTCAAAGCAGTGTGAGTGTCCCTCATCAATTCCAGATTGGTTTGACGATCTGGCTTGAACATGGCTGATTGGTGTAGCTAGTCAGTCTTTGGCCTGGGCTACTGCTCCTGATGGAACAGTGCTGGCCTGGTTGGCTGCTCCTGATGGAACAGTGCTGGCCTGGTTGGACGCAGAGCTGGGCTGGGGAGGGTTCAGGGGTCGGGATCGAGCCCCTGATGAACCCAACCCAGTCTGTTTTTCTGCGGCTACCTCAGTTGAGTTAGCCCTGGTAGAGCTTGACTGGACAATCCTGCCTCTACGGATGGTAAGATTGGTTTCTCCTGCTCTCTTCCTGGTGATGAGTTCTTCACGAACCTTCTTTGCTGCCTCCCTTTCAGCTGGTGATAGGTCCGGCGTAATGTATATGTTCCCCCACTTTTCAGAGGTTCGAAGTTGAAGTCAGCTGGCACCTGAGAAGGTCAGGGGAGGGTAGGGGAGGTCAGTGGTGTACTGGTGTCTGACATAGACCAGCGGACAGGGGGGAGGGGAGAGGGAGAGGAGTCTGGTGGCGCAGTAGGACCGTTCCGCGCTTGAAAGTGGACACATCTGAGGACCGTTCCGCGCGCGCTGACACTGCCTCTAGAACCGTTCTGCGAGCAGTCAGTCATGCAGACCGGATTGATGTTTTGAAACTTTGACATAATAAACTTTAATTATTCGACACAGGTAGCATAACCGCATGTGTTTTTTATATCGCGGACAAAAAAGTGGGGATTGTTAGGGTTAAGCAGGGAGTCACCGATGTTAGATCCCTCTCTGGGTCCTTTCATAGGTCACGGTCCTGACCCGAGATAGCTGAGCTGTGTAGTGTGTCGCAGCCCTGACCTCAGACAGCTGAGCTGTGCACGCCGTCGGCTCGGCCGTCAGTCGCCACAGCCGCTGACGCCAGTGTCCAAACAGCTCCAAACAATATCCGGCCCTGTATAGCAGGATAAGCCATCAGAGGCGGGAGTGATCAATGGAGGGACGCGAAACACTAACGCCAAGGGGATGACAACTGCTGAGGAATAAAGAAACTACATGCAGGTACACTGGGAACACGTCATGCTGGAGTTGACGTGTTCCCAGCCCGTCCTGTACCATGCAGCCCGTTCCGGTGATCACTCCCGCAGGGCCGGATATTGTTGGGAGCTGTTTGGACACTGGCGTCAGCGGCTGTGGCGACTGACGGCCGAGCCGACGGCGTGCACAGCTCAGCTGTCTGAGGTCAGGGCTGCGACACAGCTCAGCTATCTCGGGTCAGGACCGTGACCCCCTATGAAAAGACCCAGAGAGGGATCTAACATCGGTGAGTCCCTGCTTAACCCTAACAATCCCTACTTTCTTCTCCGCGCTATAGAAAAACACATGCGAGTTATAAAAAACACATCCCTATCAACCAGTCCCAAACAGTGTACCAAATTTGAGCGCAATCGGCGTGGCAGTTCAGGGTTCAAGATATATGAGCAACCCAAAATCGCTACTGCAGCAGAATAACGAACACTCTTGGCCCTTCACGTCGCACGTGTCACGACGCTCACCATGATACATCAGTTGTAGTTAATAACTCACCAAGATACATCAGTTGTAGTCAATAACGAGATGGAAGGGATAGGATTACGCGCAACAAAGAGTAACGCAGGTCAATCAGCCCAGCGGTTGCTGACTTACAAGCCTATTAAAAACGTTACAGGAATACGCTTCGCTAGCTCAAACGTAATAGAGTAGAATCATTACATATATGCAATTGCTACTATTTCCTGGTTTTCTTTATAGGCCAAGGCTTGGTAACTGATAACTCTGCTGCCCTGTAATGGGTCCGGCCCGCTGTGGCGAGTGAAGACACTCGCTCTGACTGACTGGACCGCCAGCCGAGACGCTGCTGACTCTGGTGGTGAATGGTGAGCGGAAGAGGAGAAAGTTTACGCCAAAGCTGAAGCAACTCTACATTGCTGTACAGCTAATACGCTTTTCACCTGGTGGCCAGTAGAGGAACTAACAGTTACTACAACTGACCGTCAGAAGCACCCAACACACACCGTGCCGCTCCCAGTAACATACCAGGATGTAGACCCCAGTCGGGCAGCGCTCCGGCGTCCGGCAGCCGCAGCTGGTCCAGCAGTGACAGCAGCCGGCCGGCGCTGCCCTCCGGCGCCGTCCGACAGGCGTTCACGGCCACCACCCTGACGGACAGACGTTACACGGTCAGCAGAGAGCCGACACTCGGTCAGCGGACAGTGGCGTTGGGTCACCGGATGGCAGAGCATCGCCGCAGCACACAGACCAGACAGGACTGTGCCGACAACGCAACCCCGTTGGAGTAACATGACCCTAATATATGCACCGAAAATGCTCTGGTCTATCTCCATTATTTATAATAATAAAAAAATGAAAGAACAACTGAGATGAGGGAAAGGAGTGAGGCGTCTGTTAGGGTCCCCGTGCAATACGCCCGGTGCGGTGACTGACCTCTGCGCCGCTAGCTGGAGAGCTGGTTCACCCGGCTGACGACCTTCTGTACCTCCTCGGCGGAGAGCGGGTGGCCGTTGGTGGCCCGCCGCAGCCCGTCCCGGTAGCCGGCCGCCCCATCCGGCGACACGCCCTGGGGAGTCATAGCATAACACTCAGGCAGGTTCAGGTTTCAGTCCGACACACAGAACCGTCCGGCGACACGCCCTGGGGGCGACACATGGGCGCGCTCAGGGCTCAGGTACAGGTCTCGCGAGATTAAGCGGTAGGTTTTGCACTTTTACATTTCCGGTTATATCTCAGAAACTAATCGATCTACGATGAAGCCATTTTACACGATCATGGCCGGCTTATTACCCAACAAGTCGATCGCATCTTCAACACTTAAAAGCTTAAGACGACGAAGATATAACCTGAAGTACACTAAATTTTCTAGGTGCAAAACCTACCGCTAAAACCCGCGAGCCCTGTACCATGCAATTGCACAAGGGCGCCGGGTGCAGTGTCTGTGTGTCCCTGACTGACCTGCAGCGGTGACGCTGTCACAGAAAGCACCTGTTCATTGCCCAATGCATCCAGCCCAGTTCCGGCCGGCCGAGTGCCCGCACATACGCAGCCAGTGTTACGGTCTGTGTTCGATCTATGTTACGGTCTGTGTTCAATCTATTTTACGCCCTGTGTAACGACCTGCGTTACGGCTTGTGTTACGGTCTGTGTAGTCGTCATTCGACCAGATCAGACGTCAAAGCGCCGCCGAATACTGAGCAGTGTATTCTACTCGTGTTAGTTTCTGTAAACGATACAATCAATTAACACACAACCACGGAAATCGTCCCGAATGGCCCTCAAAAGTTGGGCCTCACACTGCACGTGCACACAGCACCGGGTTACGCCCGTTAGCAGCCGTTCACATGGGTCAACACGCATCAATCGATAGGCCAGTCATCAATAATCAGGCGTGGTAAAGAAACAACATCCGGTGAAAATAAACGAGTACAATAGGTAATTCTTACCGGCCTTTGGCGCCTCCACGCCACTGACGGCGCTGACGCCGACTCCGGCGAAAACCGCGCTCCTGCGCCCTGGGCGGCGCACCGCGGCGTTCACGACGCCCCTCGGGTCGCGCTACGACGCTTCTCGTGCCGGCGTTACAACGCCCCTCGGGTCGGCGTTCACGACGCCCCTCGGGTCGGCGCTCACGACGCCTCCCGTACCGACGGCCTCGAGACACGACGCCTCACGAGGCGCTCACACGCCTCACTCCGGCGAACCCGGCGCACCTAACACAAACAGGGCAGCCTCTAAGTAACAAAACCGACAATGATCATCGACCAACGACATTCCAAGTTATTTCATATTTCATTTACGTTAAATTGCAGTATAATTCATTCATCATCATTTGACTTACACTGCGTCCGCGGTTCACACCTGCCACACACGACCGCTCACGGCGGAGACCGGCATCGGAAAGAACGCGCCTAGAGCGCGGCCCACCGCGCAGTTCACGTCACCGGCGAAATATTCCACTTTCGCGTCGCACAGTAACTAATCGAAAATAACAGTACGAATAAATGCATCACAAAATATTGTTATACTATATCCAGTGTGGCAACGCGAAGCATACATAAATTAAATCGCTAATTATATTTTGCAAAACAAAAACAAACTACTCGCAGCCCATCTCTATGATTAGAGTTGCCGCTTTTCAGCCGGAGGGGCACACACGGACTCCGGCTATCGAGCCGGCAATGCGTAAGCGGGCGGTCTTTACACTCCCCCTTCGGTCAGCCTAGACCTGACCGAACACCACACAGACCGCCCGGTCGATTCACACTGATCTTAAATACTAGCTCGCGCGATATTTCTCCGCACACACAAACGTCCCGCTAATCGGACAGTCAGTAGGAGTTTCAGTGGCTGTTTACTATTCTAATCTATTTCTAACACACCGATCACCCGAGCTACCTGCTCACTATAGTTCGGTAGAGAATAAAAATAAACTAACCTTCTCACTTTGTGTACTTACAACCTAAATTCTTGCACACCCTGTAACGCAAGTGTGCCACACCAGTCCCCACTCCACCTGAGTTACCACTCAAGGTCGGATTGCGCGCTGATCAAAATCAGTTTATGTATCGGTCTAATGTACGTTGAGGACCGGGTCTTAACCCTCACCTTCCTCACTAGTCCGTCCTCGCTTTCGAACACTTCCGTCACGCGGGCCATGCGCCACATGCCCCTGGGAGCGTCCTCGTCCGTCAGTAGCACTACATCACCTACGCTCAGGTTTCGAGACACCCTGTCCCACTTCTGCCTTTTCTGTAGAGTCAACAGGAATTCGCGCTTGAACCTGCCCCAGAACTGAGCCGCGAAGTACTGTGCTTGTCGCCAGCGGCGACGCGAGTAAGCGTCAGAGTCAGACGTCTCTACCGGCATCATCCGGCCTCCTCTCAGCAGAAGGAGGTGAGACGGAGTGATCGGCTCTACCTCACCCGAGCTGAGCGACACATACGTCAGCGGACGGCTATTCATGATCCCTTCTATCTCACAGAACACCGTACGTAGCGTCTCGTCATCTAACGTCTGAACGGGCATGCTACGCCAAATCTTTCGGAAAGTGCGGATCTGTCTCTCAATGAACCATCCAAAATGGGAAGCAGTAGGCGGGTTAAATGTCCAGTCTATCCCCTGTTTGAGAGCCTCCCGCTGCAAATCTACACGGTTTACGTCACGAAGAGCCTGCTTAAGCTCGTTATCAGCGCCCACTAAGTTCGTCCCCATGTCAGACACTACTTGCTCGATAGGGCCCCGGCGCGCAGCTATTCTGCGGATGCCGTTAATCATGGAATCCGTCCGTAACGAATCCAGTATCTCTACGTGAATCCCACGCGTGACCATACAAGTACACATTAGCCCGTACCGCAGTTTCTCCCCCCGTCCCGACTTCACCGAGATAGGACCGAACACATCTAGTCCCACTCTAGAGAAAGCGGGAGCGTTCGCGTCAGTGCGCGCCGGCGGCAAGTCTGCCATCAGCTGGCGCTGCGGTCGCGCGTTCGCCTTTCTACACACCACGCACGACCGCAGCATCTTTCTGATCTCGGGCCCGGCACCCAAAATCCAGAACCGCTCGCGCAGCTTCCAGAATGTGTGCTCTCTACCCTGGTGTCCGACCTTCTCGTGCGCCTCTCTCATCACCAGCCGCGACACATGGTGGCGTCTAGGCAATATCACGGGATGCTTGGATAGTCCGCGACAGAGCGCGATCGGCCCAGGCGCCCTCCGACTACCATCAACCCGTCCTGCATCATCGGGCGCAGCTTAGCTAGCGGACTGCGCCTGGTCACTTGGACCGCGCCGTCGCTAGTAGCACCGTTCGGACACTCGGCGAAACGTCTCTGGACATATCTCAAGACAGCACCCTCAGCCGTGCTCAACTCTGCTACAGTCAGCAAAGTTTCCCCACAGTAAGGACGGCTCCTCAGACCCTTGCGCCTGGATAGACACCATCGGCGATAATCGCCACTCCGGATGACCTCTGCAAACTTACGGTACCACGCCACGGAGCGTTTGAGCCGATAGTAGGACGAGAAGTACCGGAGAAGTCTCTCGACCGGAAGATCGGGTGCCGCGTCCACAGCGACCGCTGCCACTGGCGTTGATCGCTTCACCTCAGCTGCTGGTATGACAGCTGGAGCGGCCGGCTCCTCGGGCCACGCACCCGGCGGTCCCGTCAGAAACTCAGGTCCCGTGAGCCACGGACCTAAGTCGCCAGGGGCAGAGCCGCGAGAGCCCATGTCAGCTGGGTTCTTACCTGACGGCACGTAAGCCCAGTCAGACACCTGTGACCCGTCATGAATGTAGGACAGCCTGTTCGCTACATATGTTTTGAAACGCGTCGTGCGGTTCCGGACGCACCCGAGAACCACCATGCTGTCGGTCCACATACGAACATCGTCGAACTCGATATCCAGCTCCTTCTGCAGCAGCTTCCTGACTCTGACGGCCAACACTGCTGCGGCTAGCTCCAATCGCGGTATCGATACAAAACGCACCGGCTTAACCAGTGACCGACCCATCAAGAACACCACCGAGCACTGGATTTCTCCTCCCGGAGCACGCACCTCTCTCCTCAGATAGGCGACTGCAGAGTAGGCCAGCTCGCTGGCGTCTGCGAACACATGGAGCTGCGTGCTCACCGCCTCCCCCGGTGGGCCCACGATCGAGCGCGGCAGCTGAACACTGCCGATCTCAGCAGCCCTGGCCAGCCACTGCTGCCACTCTCTGGAAAGCTCCTCGGGGAGCGGCTCGTCCCACCCGCAGGGAATCACGCACAGTTTCTGCAACAGCAGACGACCAGTCAACACCACAGGTGCCACGATCCCCCGCGGATCGAAGACCGAGCCGACAGTCGACAGGAGACCTCGCCTCGTCACTGGCCGGTCTCCTCCACAGAACTGAAAAGTGAACACGTCACACTCCATATCCCACTTCATACCGAGGACACGCTCGGCGACCAGTTCATCTTTGTCTAAATCTAAACTCTTCACCTGTTTCCCCCGGTCCCCTACCGGGATCTGCTTCAGGAACTCGGGGCTGTTGCTCGTGAATTTCGTCATGTTAAACGACCCGTTCCTGCACAGTTCCTTTAGCCCATGAGCTAATTGAACTGCGCTCTGCACGGAATCTGTAGCGCATAGCGCATCGTCGACATAGGTGTTCCGGAGCAGAGCATCGGCGGCCTCAGGATATACATCGCGGCCTTCCTCCGCGCAGCAGCCCAGCGCGAGACTGGCCACGCTGCCGCTGGATACTGCTCCGAATACGTGCGATCTCATTCGGAATACCTGTACCTCGCCATCAGGATCGCCGTTCCGAAACCACAGAAACCTCAGCAGGTTTGAGTCGGCCTCGGGGACATGCACACGGTGATACATGGACTCCACATCACACGTGAACGCGACAGAACCCTCTCTGAATCGACACAAAACTCCGATCAGAGAGTTTGTGAGGATCGGTCCTGCTCTCAGAAGGTCGTTCAGACAGATGCCCTGGCTTTTAGCAGCGCAGTCGAACACGACACGCAGCTTACCTTTCCTTGGCTCGAGAACGCCGTGGTGAGGTAGGTACCACACCGCGTCTGCATCCATCTCTCCCTCTGGCACCGCCACTGCGTAGCCATCCTCGATCAACGACGTGATCACGCGGCGATACGCTGCGAAGTACGCGCTGTCTGACTTGAACCGCCTCCTGAGCGATTCGAGCCGCCTGCGCGCAGTCGGGAGACTGTCTGGAATTCGATCAAACGCTGCCTTAGGCAACGGGACCTCAAAATGACCATCCTTGTCACGCGTTACACTGGGGCGAACACTCGCCAGCCACTCTCTGTCCTCAACAGACATCCCCTGACTGTCATCCGACATACCTTGAAAGTCCTGCTCATACAGGTGTCTGTAGAAACAGCCCGACACATCAGACACGTCCTGCTGCGGAGGCGACTCACCGGAGCCCTGGACTCTGAGGAAGTTAACGGATAACCTCTCGTGTGCGCCACCTGACCCGGGGACCCGACCAATGACGTACCAGCCCAAGGCGGTACGGACCGCACACAGTCCAGCCTCACCCTTCGGCGGGGGTCGCACCTCTTCCGCCACAATTAGCTCCGCACAGTCCGAGCCCAGGAGAAGCTCCACCGGCGCGTCAGCCTGCACGGCGTCGATCCCCTGCAAGTGAGGAGCGGCGGCCACCTCACTTCGCTGGCACCTGTCATCGAGGGTGACAGGCAGCGTGCCGATCGTAAGGAGGGGCGGAACACGGTGATACGGACCACCCTCCATTCCCCGCACCTCAACATCGGGAACCAGTGACGTCACCATTGTTCTCCTGCTACTGCCCACAGTGTCTATATCCACAGAGGTCCTCTCCGCTCTGGCCCCTATACAACTAGCCAGTCGCTCGGTCAGGAAACTTCCGGACGAGCCGGGATCGAGAAGCGCGTTAGTCACCACGGGTTTACCAGACGGACCTCGGATACACACCGCGACCACAGGCAGCGCCGTTCGGCACGCACCCGACATGCCCAGGCTCGCGCTGATCACAGCGCCGCTGTACCCGTCACGCGACGCGGGCTGGTCGGCACCCCTAGAGGGCGCCACTGCCTCGCCGCCGGGCGGCATCACCGACATCGCGCCGACCGGACCGGCCGCGACTCGTCCTCCGAGAGGTGCGCCGGCAGCTCCGCCGTCACCGACCGGAGTCCCTCGGCCACGCTGCGCCCCCGGCGCGAAGCGCGTCGGCTGCTCACCCTGGAACACGGCCTGAACATTAGCCGACCCGGACGGGGCCGGACCACCATGGAACACCGAGAGGTGGGGCCCAGCACATACCCTGCAGCGCTGCGGTTTCCTACAGAGTCGCGCCTGGTGCCCTCTCCTCGCACACGCGAAGCACAGCCTGTGCTGCATCAGGAGGCCGCGCCGTTCCCTCCACGGCCGCGACCCCAGCGCCCGGCAGTCAGCCACACCGTGAGAGCCCCCACAGAAGACGCAGCTGGCAAGCTCCGACCCAGACGTCACCTGAGTCACGTTCACGGCGTGCCTGCGTGGGGCGCCGGAGCTGTCTGTCCGGTAGTTCGACTCTGCTGGTCGAAACCCGAAGAATGGATTCTTTCTCACGCGCACCTCGGCAGTCAGGAACCCCACCACATCGGAGAACCTAGCCATGCGCCGCTCGGTCTGGCCCAGTCTATCGACCTCCCTCAACCAACGGTCCTGCAGGTAAGGAGGGAGCTTCGAGATTATCAAACGGAGGGTCGACGGGTGCTCAAAATCACTCATCGCGACGCCGGACATGGCGTTCAAGACTTCCGTGAGGAACAAAGCGAACCTGTCTAGGGCCTCGACATCACCAGGCGGGACACGACCCCATGCCCTCACTTTCTCCACATAGGAGTCGATTAGCCTTAGCGGGCTCCCATACCGTTCCTCCAGGAGCTGCTTGGCACGCTCGTACCCCTGCCCACCCAGGTGGAGGCAGCTTTTCACGAGCTGATTCGCTTTTCCTCGTGTGAATTGCTCTAGATAAAACAAGAGCTCACTCCTGTCGTCGGACCTACTCTCAATACGTGACTCAAACGCACTTAGAAAAAGTCTGAACTCTTCCACGTCCCCTGAAAACGGCTTGATTTCGGTGGGCGGTAAAAGTGACTTCCTTAACTGCACAGCCAGTGCACCCTCTACAGGACTGACATCCTGGCCGGCAGCACGCCCCTGATCCCCTGATCCTATCTGAAACTGAGTGAAATCCTCCCCGTGGTGTCCCATATCGGCTAATTTAAGTTCTATGTCAATCTGTTCCGCACGAGACCGCAGCGACAACTCGGCCTGCTCCGCCTTCGCCTTTACGCTCAACCTCTCCTGCTCAATCTGGTGTCTCTCCTTCATTAATCTCAAACGTGCCACGAGCACCTGCGGATCCTGCAGCGTCCTATCACTACCTGTCCCTGATTCTAAAGGCTCGGCACCCTGAACTGACTCAGCCACTGAAATCTCCATCGCTGACCAAAGCCTATCCACTAGCTCTACTTTCTTTCCAGTTACCTCTAACCCCCTCGCCTCTAACTCTGACTGCAATTCTACGAGTTTCAACTGATACAATTCCTCTTTGGTTGGGGCCATGACAAACAAAAATAAGCAATACAATACAAGAATCAAGTACAAAGGTTAACAAAAAACAGCAAAATGCCTACCCACAAGAGCCTCCGATAAGTAAACACAAGCACATCAAAATATCACACATTACATGACACATTTAAATGACTAGCCACAATCTTGCATTATATCCCCCCTTAACTGAAACCCCATGATGATAGACGCGCAGCTTCAATCAAGTTCAACGGGCACACCGCTCAAAGTCAAAGCCGATAGGGCACACAGCCCTTGAGGTTGAGTCTGATCTGATGGCTAAGTGCCAAACCTGGTTTATCACTGACCAGAGATCCTCGAGGCTCGATGTGCAGGAGAAGATGCACTGCAGGCAGTCACACTGACCGCCTCCCCCGTCCACACAGGGGCTGCAGCACGCCGTCGCAGGCTCAGGAAGCTGGGCCGCCTCGTGCCGAAGACGAGGCTGTCACATGCAGAGGTGGCCTCCAAGGCGAAGGCCGAAACTGTAGTCGTCATTCGACCAGATCAGACGTCAAAGCGCCGCCGAATACTGAGCAGTGTATTCTACTCGTGTTAGTTTCTGTAAACGATACAATCAATTAACACACAACCACGGAAATCGTCCCGAATGGCCCTCAAAAGTTGGGCCTCACACTGCACGTGCACACAGCACCGGGTTACGCCCGTTAGCAGCCGTTCACATGGGTCAACACGCATCAATCGATAGGCCAGTCATCAATAATCAGGCGTGGTAAAGAAACAACATCCGGTGAAAATAAACGAGTACAATAGGTAATTCTTACCGGCCTTTGGCGCCTCCACGCCACTGACGGCGCTGACGCCGACTCCGGCGAAAACCGCGCTCCTGCGCCCTGGGCGGCGCACCGCGGCGTTCACGACGCCCCTCGGGTCGCGCTACGACGCTTCTCGTGCCGGCGTTACAACGCCCCTCGGGTCGGCGTTCACGACGCCCCTCGGGTCGGCGCTCACGACGCCTCCCGTACCGACGGCCTCGAGACACGACGCCTCACGAGGCGCTCACACGCCTCACTCCGGCGAACCCGGCGCACCTAACACAAACAGGGCAGCCTCTAAGTAACAAAACCGACAATGATCATCGACCAACGACATTCCAAGTTATTTCATATTTCATTTACGTTAAATTGCAGTATAATTCATTCATCATCATTTGACTTACACTGCGTCCGCGGTTCACACCTGCCACACACGACCGCTCACGGCGGAGACCGGCATCGGAAAGAACGCGCCTAGAGCGCGGCCCACCGCGCAGTTCACGTCACCGGCGAAATATTCCACTTTCGCGTCGCACAGTAACTAATCGAAAATAACAGTACGAATAAATGCATCACAAAATATTGTTATACTATATCCAGTGTGGCAACGCGAAGCATACATAAATTAAATCGCTAATTATATTTTGCAAAACAAAAACAAACTACTCGCAGCCCATCTCTATGATTAGAGTTGCCGCTTTTCAGCCGGAGGGGCACACACGGACTCCGGCTATCGAGCCGGCAATGCGTAAGCGGGCGGTCTTTACAGTCTGTGTTACATACCCTGTTCTGGGCGGTCTCCACCTTGACCCTCTTAGCGTCCCAGAGTCGGTACTGGTAGACGTGCGCGTTCTCTGCCGAGACGTCCCACAGGTGAACGAGCAGGTACTGTAGGCCGACCAGCGTCTCAGCTGGCACCTGAGAAGGTCAGGAGAGGGTAGGGGAGGTCAGTGGTGTACTGGTGTCTGACATAGACCAGCGGACAGGGGGAGGGGAGAGGGAGAGGAGTCTGGTGGCGCAGAAGGACCGTTCCGCGCTTGAAAGTGGACATATCTGAGGACCGTTCCGCGCGCGCTGACACTGCCTCTAGAACCGTTCTGCGAGCAGTCAGACATGCAGACCGGATTGATGTTTTGAAACTTTGACATAATAAACTTTAATTAATTCGACACAGGTACTCTTACCGCATGTGTTTTTTTTATATCGCGGACAAAAAAGTGGGGATTGTTAGGGTTAACCCGCGCCCCGTAGGGGGGGGGGCCGAAACGGCCCCCCCTGTCCTTTTCGGTCGATATCTCCTAAACGGCTGGAGATATCGCCACCAAACTTTCAGGACCCCTCCGGGCATCAATTTTACACATTGTGACCAAAATTTTTTCTAGAGGCTATGATAGGTTGGCCACAAATGACGTCAGAGTGACGTCATGTTCTGTCATTTTCGACCGAAAAAAGACCTTCGCGAGAAGACCTGTCAGGACTACAGCTTTGAAGATATAGAAAAATGATCAAGACATAAAAGGTGTAGAATTGACAGGGCTACAAAACTGCTATCTCGAATTTTTGAAATTTTTGAGTTTTGACCCCCAAAAATCAAAAAAGCATTTTTTTGGATACATTCGCCAAAAAATCCAAAAAGTTTTTGAGTTTCGAAAAAAACGGAATATATGTGATAGTGCCTACCATCTTCTATCTACATACCAAATTTCAGATCGATACCTCGTTTTTTGGCCAAGTTATAGCGAAAAAACTGTTCAAAAATGATGACGTCAAATTTTCAAACTCAATTTTTGGCAATTCTAGAACTTGTAGAGCAAAACGAAGACCACCATTAGACTCCCCGTGACGAGCTGCATCGAATCGATACCCATTTTATGCAAAAATATCAACTTTGAAATTTGACCTAATTTGACCTGACCTTGACCTGACCTTCACAAAAACGTGACCTAGGCTGGCCCCAAAGGCTGCCTAACCCACATAATCGCATTTGTCATGTAAAATGGACCATAAAACATGTATCACACGACACATTCATATTGTGACCCCCGGTGACCTGACCTCGCTGTGACCTGACCTGGTATCAGTGACCTCAGATAGCAAAGTATGTGTTTGACGAACAATGTACCATCGATGGTTTTCAATAAATTACCAATTTACTCGCTTTCACAGCACATTTCTTGAATTGCCTGTGAACGGTGAAAATCTGACCTTTGACCCGACCTGTGACGTCATCGGTTTGACCTAGGTCAATGAAATTTGGTCACAAGGTAGTTCCCGGGTGGGGCTATCGAACGCCGTTTGAATTTTGAAAATCAGCCGGTAACTTTCCGAGATCTTAGGGGGGGCCGAAACGCCCCCCCCCCCTACGGGTGGTAGGGTCCGCCGGTAGCCCTACGGGGCGCGGGTTAAGCAGGGAGTCACCGATGTTAGATCCCTCTCTGGGTCCTTTCATAGGTCACGGTCCTGACCCGAGATAGCTGAGCTGTGTCGCAGCCCTGACCTCAGGGCTCAGACAGCTGAGCTGTGCACGCCGTCGGCTCGGCCGTCAGTCGCCACAGCCGCTGACGCCAGTGTCCAAACAGCTCCAAACAATATCCGGCCCTGTATAGCAGGATAAGCCATCAGAGGCGGGAGTGATCAATGGAGGGACGCGAAACACTAACGCCAAGGGGATGACAACTGCTGAGGAATAAAGAAACTACATGCAGGTACACTGGGAACACGTCATGCTGGAGTTGACGTGTTCCCAGCCCATCCTGTACCATGCAGCCCGTTCCGGTGATCACTCCCGCAGGGCCGGATATTGTTGGGAGCTGTTTGGACACTGGCGTCAGCGGCTGTGGCGACTGACGGCCGAGCCGATGGCGTGCACAGCTCAGCTGTCTGAGGTCAGGGCTGCGACACAGCTCAGCTATCTCGGGTCAGGACCGTGACCCCCTATGAAAAGACCCAGAGAGGGATCTAACATCGGTGAGTCCCTGCTTAACCCTAACAATCCCTACTTTTTTCTCCGCGCTATAAAAAAAACACATGCGAGTTATAAAAAACACATCCCTATCAACCAGTCCCAAACAGTGTACCAAATTTGAGCGCAATCGGCGTGGCAGTTCAGGGTTCAAGATATATGAGCAACCCAAAATCGCTACTGCAGCAGAATAACGAACACTCTTGGCCCTTCACGTCGCACGTGTCACGACGCTCACCATGATACATCAGTTGTAGTCAATAACTCACCAAGATACATCAGTTGTAGTCAATAACGAGATGGAAGGGATAGGATTACGCGCAACAAAGAGTAACGCAGGTCAATCAGCCCAGCGGTTGCTGACTTACAAGCCTATTAAAAACGTTACAGGAATACGCTTCGCTAGCTCAAACGTAATAGAGTAGAATCATTACATATATGCAATTGCTACTATTTCCTGGTTTTCTTTATAGGCCAAGACTTGGTAACTGATAACTCTGCTGCCCTGTAATGGGTCCGGCCCGCTGTGGCGAGTGAAGACACTCGCTCTGACTGACTGGACCGCCAGCCGAGACGCTGCTGACTCTGGTGGTGAATGGTGAGCGGAAGAGGAGAAAGTTTACGCCAAAGCTGAAGCAACTCTACATTGCCGTACAGCTAATACGCTTTTCACCTGTTGGCCAGTAGAGGAACTAACAGTTACTACAACTGACCGTCAGAAGCACCCAACACACACCGTGCCGCTCCCAGTAACATACCAGGATGTAGACCCCAGTCGGGCAGCGCTCCGGCGTCCGGCAGCCGCAGCTGGTCCAGCAGTGACAGCAGCCGGCCGGCGCTGCCCTCCGGCGCCGTCCGACAGGCGTTCACGGCCACCACCCTGACGGACAGACGTTACACGGTCAACAGAGAGCCGACACTCGGTCAGCGGACAGTGGCGTTGGGTCACCGGATGGCAGAGCATCGCCGCAGCACACAGACCAGACAGGACTGTGCCGACAACGCAACCCCGTTGGAGTAACATGACCCTAATAAATGCACCGAATATGCTCTGGTCTATCTCCATTATTTATAATAATAAAAAATGAAAGAACAACTGAGATGAGGGAAAGGAGTGAGGCGTCTGTTAGGGTCCCCGTGCAATACGCCCGGTGCGGTGACTGACCTCATCGCCGCTAGCTGGAGAGCTGGTTCACCCGGCTGACGACCTTCTGTACCTCCTCGGCGGAGAGCGGGTGGCCGTTGGTGGTCCACCGCAGCCCGTCCCGGTAGCCGGCCGCCCCATCCGGCGACACGCCCTGGGGAGTCATAGCATAACACTCAGGCAGGTTCAGGTTTCAGTCCGACACACAGAACCGTCCGGCGACACGCCCTGGGGGCGACACATGGGCGCGCTCAGGGCTCAGGTACAGGTCTCGCGAGATTAAGCGGTAGGTTTTGCACTTTTACATTTCCGGTTATATCTCAGAAACTAATCGATCTACGATGAAGCCATTTTACACGATCATGGCCGGCTTGTTACCCAACAAGTCGATCGCATCTTCAACACTTAAAAGCTTAAGACGACGAAGATATAGCCTGAAGTACACTAAATTTTCTAGGTGCAAAACCTAACGCTAAAACCCGCGAGCCCTGTACCATGCACAAGGGCGCCGGGTGCAGTGTCTGTGTGTCCCTGACTGACCTGCAGCGGTGACGCTGTCACAGAAAGCACCTGTTCATTGCCCAATGGATCCAGCCCAGTTCCGGCCGGCCGAGTGCCCGCACGTACGCAGCCAGTGTTACAGTCTGTGTTCGATCTATGTTACGGTCTGTGTTCAATCTATTTTACGCCCTGTGTAACGACCTGCGTTACGGCTTGTGTTACGGTCTGTGTTACATACCCTGTTCTGGGCGGTCTCCACCTTGACCCTCTTAGCGTCCCAGAGTCGGTAATGGTAGACGTGCGCGTTCTCTGCCGAGACGTCCCGCAGGTGAACGAGCAGGTTCTGTAGGCCGACCAGCGTCTCAGCTGGCACCTGAGAAGGTCAGGGGAGGGTAGGGGAGGTCAGTGGTATACTGGTGTCTGACATAGACCAGCGGACAGGGGGGAGGGGAGAGGGAGAGGAGTCTGGTGGCGCAGTAGGACCGTTCCGCGCTTGAAAGTGGACACATCTGAGGACCGTTCCGCGCGCGCTGACACTGCCTCTAGAACCGTTCTGCGAGCAGTCAGACATGCAGACCGGATTGATGTTTTGAAACTTTGACATAATAAACTTTAATTAATTCGACACAGGTAGCCTAACCGCATGTGTTTTTTATATCGCGGACAAAAAAGTGGGGATTGTTAGGGTTAAGCAGGGAGTCACCGATGTTAGATCCCTCTCTGGGTCCTTTCATAGGTCACGGTCCTGACCCGAGATAGCTGAGCTGTGTCGCAGCCCTGACCTCAGGGCTCAGACAGCTGAGCTGTGCACGCCGTCGGCACGGCCGTCAGTCGCCACAGCCGCTGACGCCAGTGTCCAAACAGCTCCAAACAATATCCGGCCCTGTATAGCAGGATAAGCCATCAGAGGCGGGAGTGATCAATGGAGGGACGCGAAACACTAACGCCAAGGGGATGACAACTGCTGAGGAATAAAGAAACTACATGCAGGTACACTGGGAACACGCCATGCTAGAGTTGACGTGTTCCCAGCCCGTCCTGTACCATGCAGCCCGTTCCGGTGATCACTCCCGCAGGGCCGGATATTGTTGGGAGCTGTTTGGACACTGGCGTCAGCGGCTGTGGCGACTGACGGCCGAGCCGACGGCGTGC